TTCCCTCCACCTCAGAGCCAGCCCTAGAGGAGGGGAACATCTAAGGCCAGTGTGGGACTGATGCAGCACACAGTGTGGGAGGATCCAAACTGCCTCTCCCTTAGCAAGGGAGAGCCCCAGAGGGCACAGGAGCCTAGCTGGCAGAGAAGGGGCCCGCTTGGCAGTACTCAGTAAATATGTGTCATCTGGGGATAGACAGCTCCAGACTAAGAAGAGAGCAAGGCAGATGGGCTTTGGATACTGTAGGGGTGAGCTGGAATGAACTGGAGAGTTCTTGCAGGGCTCAGCTCAGCACTGGATTCCCAGAGAAGCCTTCCTGACCCTGGCTGGGTGAGCGTGCCCTGCATTCTGCTCTCAGAGCCCTGACGCTCTCCTTTCATAGCACTCACTCTGGTTCTATATCAGTGATTCGTGGGCGCATTGGCTGAACGTCTGCCTCTACCCTGGACCGTAGGCTTCCAGGGCACAGGGAGTCCTGTTTTGTGCTCTCTGGCCCAATATTTGACATGCACAGACCCTCCAAGGACATTAATGGACACAAATGGAAGCTTGTCCAGTGTTCTCAGACCAAGGAAGAAAATTCCAGAAAGAGAGCGTGACCTACAGGGCCACATGCTCCGAAGAGGATTTGGACAGAAAGGGCTAGAAAGAGTTTCCAGAGGGCTGGCCTGGTGGCCTACTGGTTAAAGGAAGCTGATCCCACATAGCCTATTGCATGTGGGATCCCAACTTGGCTTGAAAAACATACTGGACATGTGTGCATGCGTGTGTGTGTGTGTGTGTGTGTGTGTGTGTATGTCCCAAATCCTAACAGGATGGAGAAATGGAGAAGGGACTGTGGTATGACCACCCACTGGCTTTCTTCCACTCCCTGTCTCTTCATCTCTTTCTCTCTGGTGAGTATATGGACCCTCTGGCAAGAGTTCTCAGGGCACATGGCCCCAATGTATGGCTTGGAAGTGAGCTAGGCCCCAAGCAGTGAAGAGTTACCAACAGAAACGTCAGATGAGTAGAAGCAGAGACTTGGGTCGCAAAGAAGGAGTTTGGGGGCCTGAGAAAGGACAGAGAAGGAGGCAGGAGGCTTTGTTTTCCCTTTTAAAAGGCAAGTGAGTTCTGAAGTTGCTGGAGAAAAAAAACTATCTAATATGGGAAGTATGTTTCAAACTGATGATTTTATTTCATTTTAATGGTTGCTACAGTCTGAATCCCATTCCCACTATGGCTGTGTGAGCTGGGCAGTCATTAAATTTCTGAATCAGTTTCCTCATCAGGAAAACTGCAATATCCTTATGAAAGACACCTAGAATATGTTAAGTCGTTGGAAAGGTCATAACGCATTTTTGCATACAAAAAATATGTATTTTGACTTTCCTGTTGATCCACTATTAAGGGGTCCCTACATGGTAGTTTCCTCCCTGTTTTCTCTCGTCTGCCTGTTGGCAGAGCTGTCATGTACAGATACACTGCACAACTCCAGGGGGCACCATTCACACAGACTAAGGCCTGCCCCTTGGGAAATCTGAGTTGCTTCTTCACCACCACCACCACCATCACCAAGTGGGCTGGGCGAAGAGGGGAGACGCAGTCAGAGACACTCTTATCATCTGTTCTCATCAAGAACGCCAGCCGCTGGCCACTCAGCTAGTCCCAGGCAGACTCGGAGGCCAGCAGAAGACTGGGCTTTTTCATCCGGGTGAGGGGCCGTGGACTCCTGGGAATGTATGGAGGCTCCGTAGTCTATAAACAGAGCCTTTCTAAAGCCCTGGCCTAACAAATGGAGCAATTACCTCCCAGCACTGCTCTGATTGTTGTGTGTGCTGGCCCAAGGCCCCTCTCTTGGAGCAGACGGTTGGGACTGTGGGGCTCCTGGATGACCCTCTCTTACCTGTGTCCCTCAAAGACAACCACTATCCCAACTTTTCTGGTGACTGCTTCTGTGCTTGTCTTCATAGTTCTACGTCAATATATGCACCCTTACTCAGCAGATTTTTTTTGGGGGGACAGTGCTGGCCCTGACTCTGTCCCCGAGTCTCACCTCTTCCTGGGGCAGAGGTTTTTGCTATAGGGTGCATGCACTCGCCAGAAAGACGGAGAGAGACAGAGAGACAAAGCAAGAAATCACCCCCCAGGGGGGACAGCCACGCCGCAATCCCTTCTCCTCTGTTCTCCTCTCAGGATCTTGGGCACGCATGCGCATGCACCCGGCGTGAGTTTTAAGCCACCGGGTCCAGGACTCGGACCGCGGTCGACTACGTGGGAGTCCAGCGACATAGCCATTACGCTAACTGCTAGTCCCTACCCAGCAGATTCACATTTTGCCCTTTTCATACTTTTTATAAATGGGGTCACACTGCATGCATTCTTTTGTGATTTGCCCCTCCCCTCACTATGCTTATAGGATCTGCTCATATTCTTGCACGAGCTGTTCATTTCTACCAGTTTTACTGAGATGACTCTAATTATCCAACTGTAATTCTATAGTTTTTCAAGAACAAATGCTTCTTAACTTGTCTATGTCTGACAGATATTCAGTGTCTTAAAATGGTTGTTTTGGATCTTTTTTTTCCAGTTTTATACTTGCTTTTGAAAAATTTTTCAGAGAACAGTCATGGACGACTCATTTATGCCATAGTAACCAGCAGTTCCTCCTCTGACTTTTCCTTTCAGACTTTATCTTTCTTTTTTAAAGGTTTTTGTTTTTGTTTTGCCATGGGGTACCTGTGTTTTGCCCGAGAGAAAGAAAGTGAGAGGGAAAGTAAGATATCCTCCTCCAAAGTGGATGCCCATGTTTGCAGTCCCTTGTCCTCCATTCTTCTCTTGGGATTTTGGGCATGCACGTACATGTGCCCAGCATAATTTTCAAGTGCCCAGCATGATTGTCTGGGACTTGAACCATGGTCAGCCATGTGGAAGTCCAGCACCTTAAACTCCATGCCGCCTGCTGGCCTCCTCAGTTCAGCCTGTTCCATTGTCACCCATTGTCTAATAACTCGCGGTGTAAATATAGTCCACTTTATTTAGCGGGTGGAATGGGGACACGCCGGGTTAGGCTGTCAGGAGTATGACTGGACTTGTCTCTTGGCATTCAGACACGCATACCTATGAGGGACTTGCTATGTCCCAGGGGCACTAGCTCCCCATGACTGCTGTAATGAGGCATTACAAATGTGGTGGCCGGAAACAACAGACACTGATGATCTCAGTTTGAGAAGTCAAATGTCCTACTGAGGCTCCCTGGGATAAAATCAAGGTGTTGACCTGCTGCATTCCTTCTGCAGATTCTAGATTCTAGCAGAGGTCTGCTGTCCCTTGTTTAGGGGCTGCCTGCATTCTTTGGCCCTTGGCCCTCTTCCACCATCCAATTCAATGGCCAGCTAAGTCTTGTTCAGGCATCATCGCTCTGAGCCTCTTCATTTATAAGGACCCCTGTGGTTACAGGTAAGTCTTGTTCAGGCATCATCACTCTGACCCTCTTCCGTTTATAAGGACCCCTGTGGTTATACTGGGGCCACCTGGATCATCGAGGCTAGCCTCCCCATCTCAGGGGCCTTAATTTGATCACACCCGCAAAGTCCCTTCTGCCATGTAAGGTAACATAGAAACAGGTTGCAAAGACAGCACATGGACATTTGGGGAGGGAGGTATTTTGCCTACCACATAGGCTGTTACAGCTCTTCAGCTATATTAGACAGGACAAACTGTTCTCCAAAAAGGCCGTTACCAGTTTACGTTGACACCTGCAGCATCTGCTGTTCCACACCCTTGTTAATACCTGGCATCATCAGAATCTGACGTTTTTGCCTCTGTCGGCTTCTCTGCACTACCTCCTAGCGGAATGGGAGGGGAGCTGAACTCTTCACAGTCACTCTTCACAGAGTCGTGACCAAGTCCATCCCCACATGAACCGATCCCTGGGACTAAGCTGCAGTCTCCTGCCTGGTTTTCTGGTGTTGCTTGCCATGGTTTGGTCTCAGTTGCTAAACTCCCTAATTTTTAGATATGCCATCATATCATGATGGCTGTCCCACAGGCTTCAGTCCTACCTCGTAATCAGTTTCTTCGGAGTCCCCACCTGCGCATTATGCTGACATCTTACCCATATTTGACCACGAGACCATCTGAATAGTGACAATAGGGTAGGATAAGAATCAAGGTGCGCTCCTTCTGCAGAGTCTAGCAGAGAACTCCTTTCTCTTGTTTAGGGCCTGCCTGCATTCTTGGCCCTTGGCCGTCTTCTATTCCAAACATGTGGAGTGTTGCCCCAAGCAGTAGCTTCCAAGTCCATGCCACCTGCTCCCTTGCTCATGAACTTGACGCTAACCCTTGACTGACACGAAACTGGAGCCCTAAGAGATCGTGAAGCCTGGGCAGCAAAAGTCATTTGAGATACAAACCCCAAGTTTTTAAGGGAGTTCAAGGTACAACAGAGCTTCGAGTGTCAAACTGCATAGCAAAAAAGGCATTCTCCTGACCCTGAAAACGTTTCACCATGAAAAATGCCTCCACCACTGCCAAATGGATTTTGAAACACCCTAAGAGAATGACTCACATTGGTGCCTTTTGTAAAGTCGGCAGCATTTGCTCCAGAACTTCACTTTCTAGGTAGAAGCATAGAAACCAGAAGGGATGCTGGGATATACTTCTCACAATGGACCATTTCAATTCTCCTTTACCCACTGGAAATTTTCAGCACGGGCATGCTGCCCAGTGCAAGAACAAATAGAACAGATGTGTTTTTCCATTCGCAGTGGGCAGGATGTTTCATATTACGCAGTTCAATAACTGCACCAGCGACGTGATCTATATGCCGGAATATTCCATAGATTGATGGGCATCGGGAAACCGTTCTGACCTAAGGGAGTAAATGCCTGAAAACCGATATGGCAGAAGTACCCCGATCTGAACCAGGAAGTGTCATATGAAGCAGTTTAAGAAAATGGAAGCAGAAAAGGTGCACAGAACCCTCCCACTGTGTCTCTTCCTCCCAGAAGTAGGGTGTCCCATGTCATCTGGCCATGGGATGGTAAGAGTCCACACATAATGGCATGAGGATGGCTAGAGTGGCCTTGCCAGGGAGAGAACCCCAGGGAGACACTGGCTGTGGTGGAAGTCTTCCCTGAGGTGGAATGAAGGGGAGTAAGGGGCTGTTGGCTAGAGCTGATAGTTACCAGGCCTGGGGTGAATCATGACACCAGGTTCCCACTCCCAAGGCGAGACTCTGGTTCACGCTGTCCGTCTGTCTGGGATGCTCACTTCCCTATCCTGATAGCCATCCACCATAGTCCCTCCAGACCCTATGGTCTAGCCTGACTGTCACCATCTCCATCAAAACGTCTTCGCTCCAGACAGGAGTGGTGCCGTCTCCTCAACCCTCACGACTTCCTGTTGTACCTCTTCCATGGCAGTCATCCAGTGTTGGTGACTGGGGACGTTTTTCTCTTCCCCAGTCAGCTGCCAGTACCTCGAGGTCAGGGATGGTGTATGACGACTGATAGAGTCTTAGGCCGCTGCACAACCGGCTCTATGCAGAGGGGTGGGTGGAGGAACTGGGAGCAGAGGCAGCAATGGGGCATGAGAATACACAATCCCTACTGACCACTTGCCTTTAAATAGTTAGGCAAGTGCAAGTAAAAGGGCCCAGGAATGGCATTCTCAATGCTCCAGTCTGACGGAAGCAGAAAGTGATCTGTAATGCAGTGTGGACTCACCAGCCCTGGTCAAATGGAATGTTTCAGTCAGTAAGTGGCAGAAAATAAATGTCCTACCAGGAAGCCTACCAAAGGACAAAGGAACATGCCTCCTATGCTCACAATGCACCCACATGTTCCCGGCTGGAGTGTGAGGCCGCTGGAGGATTCAGTTCCTTTTGCATACCCCACCTCCCCCAGTTTTATGTGCTGCAACCCACACCTTCCAGACCAAGCCCTGTCCTCAGGCACAGCTCGAGCAGATAGAGCCCCCAACTGTCAGGACAGGAGTGCTGCAGGGGCGTCTGTGCAGCCCCTTCACCAGGTTGGTTGGGTTCCTTAGGCCTGCACAGAAGAACCTGGAAATCCAGCCTAGGGTAGTTTCTGCAGCAGCACCTCTGCCTGGGTGCTGAGCCCTGTGATCATGTATGTGGGATTTCAGATTCTCTGTCTTCCCCTGGCTAGGTGTGTGATTTACAACTCATGGAGGGGCTCCCCAACTGAGCAGCTGCTCTAAGGCCCACCTTCCCTAGCAAATGGCAAAGGCTTCAGAAACGCAACTTCCCTCCACTGTAACAGCTGAGCTCCCCTTTGCTCTGAATAGTCATCTGTGGGGAGAAAGTCTCGCCCTGCCGTGAGCAACCCAGGGAAGAGCAGAGTACCTTCTGGCCGTGGCTTTGGCTTTTCCAGCCCTCCATCTTGCATGAGCTCAAAGGCAAAGGAAACATTCAAGACCTGGTAAGAGAGATGCAGTGCATGTGTCATTGCACACTTATTCCTGGACCCGCGAGCCCCAGACCTGCCCCTGGGCGTGATGGAGCCAGCATTGCAGGCAGAGGCTGAGGCCGAGCTGATCTGAAGGAGAAGTGGGTATAAGAATGGGCAGGCCGTGTGGAGTCTGGGTTTGCCGACACAGGCCTGCTGGTGGAGAAACTCCTAGGGAAGTTCAAATTCTTCTTCCCATCCTGTGTTCCCACGTCAGGGGCCAGGACTACAGACAGGGGCGTCTGTGCACGCCTCTGGAAGGATCAGGTGGTGAGATGTGCTCAGAGGGAGAGGAGGGTTTCTGCTTTAGACCATATGCCTGCTGTCTCGTGTCAGCCTCTGAAAGGCAGCGAGAATGGGGTTGAGCTTGGGCCTGGGTCTGAGAAGCCTTGCAGCCACTTGTTGTCACCTCTGGGCAGAGATGTGGCTTGGCAGAGGCACCTGGCTAGGAAGCAGGGCAGGCTGCAGGAACTCTCAGTGGTCTGCAGACAGCTCCTTCCCACTCTCTGCTCATCAGAAAGGACTCCTATCCCACCACTGATGACCCTGGGCAGGGGGACGCCTCCACCTTTTCCCGCATAGCCCCAGAGGAGAGGCAGGCAGATGAGTCAAGAGATGGCTTCCCTGATGTCCCTCTCCCTCACCTTCTGTTCAAAGCTGTCCGGGGTCAGGAAGAAGCTGTGCAGGGGTACAAAATAGCCTTCCAGCAGCCCCATGAGCAGCACGAGGTACACCCCATCTGCAAACTGAAGGGAGAGAGGAGACAATGAGGACACTGGCCCCAAGCCTCCAGCCATGCCTTGTCCAGTGGCTTCCATGTCGTCCCACCCACAGGCTTCCTCCCCAGCAGGCTGCTGGCCAGGGTTGGGGCAGGGGCCAAGGCTGGGGAGTCTCTACAGCAGACAAAGCTCCGAAGTCACAGGCGGCCCAGGGCCCTGATCTCACACACTGAGCAGATGGAGACAGCGTCCCAAGCCCCATTCTGGACCAGAGTTGGGTCAAGGGTAGTTTCTGCTCGTGAGGAGCTCATGGCCACAGGGGAGGCCAGTGTGGAGGCCCCATGGCAGCTGCTCTGAGTGACACTGGGAAAGGTCACCTGCTCCAGTTGTAGGTATCAGAGAAGGCTTTCAGAGGGAGGCTGCCTGAATGGAGACCCAGGGGAGCAGGAGCCTGCGGTGGCGGGTGGAGAGAGGAGGGAAGGGTGAGTGCGAGGGGAACAGCACGAGGTTACTGCGGCCACTTCTGCTTTTGGGACAAAAAAGGACTCTAGCGTCACAAGGGCTGGGCGTCCTCCTTTCTCACATCTCACTTCAGATAGCCTGAGAGGCAGCACAATGTAGCTGCTAAGGATGTGGACCTGGGGTTCGAATCCTGGCTGTACGGCTTTCTAGCTGAGTGACCTGGGCCTCGTTTTTCTCATCTGTAAAAGGGAATGACCACAGCACAGTACCTAGGTCACAGGGCTATCAGGACTTAACCAGTTAGTAGCTGCAGGGTGCCTGTGAACCGCTGGCCTGTGGGCAGCACTGAAGTCACAGTGGCCCTTCCTGTCGGGAGAACAGTAGAGCAGTCACGCTCTCACGGCTCACTCCCTCTTGCTGGCCACGCACAGCTGTGTGCTGGGCACCGGGGCAGGAGGCTCTGCCTGCACAGTGAAGGCCATGAGGTGGGGAACTTGACCACAGGACAGACTCCCAGGGTAAGTGCAGAGACTGTAGGTCTCCTCTCGAGGGAGGGAGGGATGAGTGTGCCCTGGGCAATCAGGACCAGTTCTGAGGAGGCCGTGGGACTGTGGAAGGAGCAGCTGTCTCAGGTGTGGAGGAGGCTTGAGCCAGGACATAGCACTGGATGCGTATCTGCTGTTCTAGAACCCTTTCCAGGAGGCCGAGTCACCAAATGTCTGTGGGTGTAGACAACAGGTGCTCGAGTTTGCAGGAGGCTGGTTTTCTTGGAATCATCCTAGGAAGCTTAAAGGAACTGGACTGAATTGCCTGAGTGTGAGCTGGGCCCAGAGTCTGCTCAGTGAGCTTTGTTGGGTGTCTGGCTGGGGTGGGGGCTGGGGCTCAGCTTTTGTGAAGGGCATAAGACTCTGAGTGTAGCCTGACCTGTCCACCGGGCCTTCAACTCAGGTGGGTCGAGCTTGAGCAGGACTCACCCACACCACTCCCAACCCTGGGGTGGACACTGGAGAGCAGCCCTTAGACATGCTCTCCCCTTGGGAGCTCAGCTGAGCGTCCTCCTGGTGATGGACTGAGACGCAAAGAACCCAATCTGTGAACTCAGGGGGGACTTGGGTTAGGGCTGAGGTTACTCACAGCTCAGAGGGCCAGGCTTGACTGCTCCTATGCCTGGCAACTGGTTCTGCTGATTTGGGGGGAACAGCAGGTAATCCTGGCAGCCCCCCAGTGCTGGGAAGTGACCTCCTTCCCTAGTACTGCCTGACCTTGAAAACCGAGGTGGAAGTTCCAGGACTCATTCTAGCTCTGTTGAGGGAAACTCTCATTTCTAGAATGTTCCTTATTTCCCAAGAAGAATATGTGAAACTCATTCCACAGGGTCCAGATACACTCAAGCAGAGCTCAGTGTCAGACTAGGCAGTTGCCCTGAAAAATAATGGGAGCCGACATGCTTGAAGAAAACTCCACTGCAGAAACCCACCAAGAATGAAAGATGTTGGGAAATAGAACACAAAGCATGGTCTCAAAATATCTCCTGATAAAGATTAGCTGTCAAGTATAAAGGGAAGAGAAAGAACTTCACAGTAAAGTTACAGCAGGGAAGTCTAGGGGGACACTACCTTACCCAAGGGACCCAAGTTGTCACCAGGAAAGTGTCCAGTGGGGGACAGTGCCTTCTGATGGGGTGTACCGAGAGCACGAGAGTGCCTAGGGGGTCTGCTACTGAGAACACATCACCTGGACCTAATCTGGGGGGAGGAAAACAGAGGCATGGTCTATAAGCCACCTGGTCCAAACCCTTCAAAATGTCAATGATGCACCAAGAAAAACAGAGGAATAGTTTTATGTTAAAGAGACCAAAAAGATGGTCACACGGTCGTGTGTGAGGAACTGAGACGACAGGTCAAATCTGAACGTAGAGATGTCTTTTTCCCCACCAGATGACACTGCCATTTTAGCTGGTCAAAGGCAGTCAAATGTTAGCAATTTCAAATGCTTGAATCTCACGTATCAATGTTAAAATGCCTGCTTTTGATTATGGATCATGATGTACGCTAATGTACTTGTTCTTAAGAGATGGATACTGACCTATTCAGGGATAGAGAGAGGGTGAGAGGGAAAAAAAATGTGGTTGAATGTTAAAAATTGGTGCACTAGGGGAAGAGTATGTGGGTGTGCATTCTTATAACTTTCCAAGATAAAAAGTTGGAAAGAAAGAATCACAGAGAAAGTCCGTGGAGCTCACCGCCCTGAGCAGAATGGATTCCCAGGCCATGTGGAAAACTCTGGATGTGGGTGGGGCACTTGGGTGGGTGGCTGTCTGTGGGGTGGGCAGGGCCCTCCCTCCGCCTCCTCCCCCTGCATGCTGGGCCGCCCCTCACCTGTGTTTCCAGTTCTGTGACCTCCAGGTTCAGCTTATTCAGGTGCTTGTTCACGAAGGTGATGAGTGTCTGGAAGCGAAGCACATGTGGGCCTTGAGATGGAGACTCACCAGCACCAGACCTCGAGGCCTCCCATGAATGCCCATGAGGAGGATCAGGGTGGGACAAAGGACCAGGCTCGGCCAGAGCGCCAGGACCGGGTCTCTATGCAGAGCTGAGTGTGGCCCTTCCTCTTCCTGCAAAGGCTGAGTCCTCAAGGTGAGCCCCAAGCTCCAGCTCTGCAGCCCTAGGCCACTCAGCCTGTGGCTGGCACAGGGCAGCCCTGAGAGGCAGGGCCGGTGGAGGGCCTTGAGGCTAGAATTGGAGGGTACAGGCAAGAAGGAGAATTAGGAAGGGGGCTGGAGTCCCAGTGACCTCTGAGTCCCTCCTTTTAGTCCCTTCTTTGGTACAGCTGTCTGTGCCCAGGGAGACAGGGAATTGTGTGTGAGAAGCAGGGAAGGCTGGGGATGGGAAGACAGGTGAAGGGAGCTGTGTGTGTTGGAGCCGTGTGTGCAAATCCTGTGTGTACAGACATGAGGTGGTGACGCTGGCTTTGGTTCCCCGGGAGCACCACGCTGCAGTGATGTCCTGCCTCTCTGTTCAGCCGCATGTGCTCCCTCCCTCCCTCCCCCCCTCCCAGGCACTGCCCTCCCACCTTCTTCACCACGTTGAGTTTGTCTGGCGCGTGGTCGAACAGGGTGTCAAAGGCATCGCGTTCTGAAAAACATGAAAATATAGAGTAGAGCCCCAAGCTGATAGCTGGCGGGATGTCCACTCTGGGTTCCAGAGCCAAGAGCCTTCCCGGGCCACGTGGCCCATGGGAATACTCTGAGGTACACTATGTTGGGAGTTCTGGAACATGGGGCTGGGCCGACTCTTACACGGGAGGCCTTTCTCTTTCTGTGAGTCCGTACACATGTCCACACGGCAACCCTTCATTGCGGTGGGGTGGACGTGCTCTGGCTGGCAGGCGTCTCACTAGACCTATCTCACTTTCCATCCTACCATGATTCGGTCAGGGTTCTGAAGTGTTTCTGAAGCTCTGGGAGCAGGGCAGCTTTGCTCTGAGCATGGGGCAGAAGGAAGAAGTGTTTGAACACAGGGACTATCCTCTCGAAGGGACCGTCTGGGTTTTGGTTCTCTTCTTCCCACCAGTATTCTGCCCCTCCCTACCCAACCAGCTGTGTCACCAGGCTGGTGCAGATACACATCCAGGCAGCAAGCCGAGTGCCTCTGTTCTCCAGCTGATGCAGAGTTAGCTGGAGCCCGGGCACAGCTGCCAGTGCCAGAGGACAACCTCATGCAACTCACCATGCCTTCGGAAAGAAGAGACAGTGTGACTCCTCTCTGGACCACTTGCAGGAGGACCCTCCATCATTACCTGAAGCCTACCCCCACTTGCCGCCTCCTGCCTGTCCTTGGCTGAGGAGCTCAAAAGGTCTCCTTGGCATTTGTTCTGCACTGTCTAAAATTACTGAGATGTCACCAAACGGCCATTTATTTGTTGCCTCTGCTACACAGACGGGTATACTGGCATTAGTGCAAAGCCTGGCACAGTGATGCTTAAAGGATGCTATTTCTTGCCTTAAATACAATTGCACTATTGCAGGGCCAACAGGTGGCATGGTGGTTAAGGTGCTGGACTCCCACATGGCCTACGGTGGTTCAAGTCCCAGACCTGAATTTGCGTTCAAACCTGAACATTCAGACCTGAATGTGCTTGCTTTCTCTCTCCTGCGGTCTCTCTCTGCTGAGCGTGTATGCCCTACAGCAAATTTTAAACTTATGACAATAACAAATAAAATTAAACAATTCATTTGAAATATTGCATTACTACTTGCAGTTAAAAAATATTGGACTCAGGCTAAAAATGCCAAACCAGAAAATCCTCGGATTCTTTTTTTTTTTTTTTTTTTAGAGATTTTCACTGTAGGGCGCATGCACTCGCCAGACAGACAGAGAGAGACATAGAGACAGAAAGCGAGAAATCACCCCCCAGGGGGGATGGTCACGCCGCAATCCCTTCTCCTCCATTCTCCTCTCGGGATCTTGGGCACGCACGCACACGCGCCCGGCGTGAGTTTTAAGCCACCGGGTCCGGGACACGAACCGCGATCGACTATGTGGGAGTCCAGCGACATAGCCATTACGCTAACTGCTGGTTCCCGAAAATCCTCGGATTCTTAGAAGCAGCACTCAAACCTCCTCCTCCTGTGACTACCACTGCCCAGTTCTGTGTGCACAGCTGCCTGGGGGTGCTCAGCTTTGTCTCTTCTGTCCATCCTGAGATTTCTTTCTTTTTGGAGAGGATTTTGCTTGCCAGACAGACAGAGAGACAGAAAGCGAGAAATCACCCCCCAGTGGGGATGACCACGCCGCAATCCCTTCTCCTCTGTTCTCCTCTCGGGATCTTGGGCACGCACGCACACGCGCCCGGCGTGAGTTTTAAGCCACCGGGTCCGGGACACGAACCGCGATCGACTATGTGGGAGTCCAGCGACATAGCCATTACGCTAACTGCTGGTCCCGTGTCCATCCTGAGATTTCTCCAGGAGGCACCTGTCACTGACCCAGGTTTTCTCAAAGAGGCAGGAACTGGAACCAATCCCAGGGCAGAGAAGCTGCAAATGATTATGAGACAGATCACTTCGATTCACATTCCACTGAGCCATTTCCCCCCACGTGACCTTGGACAGTTACTGAAATTCTGGGCTCCAGGCCTCTTATCTGTAAAGTGAGGATGATAATGGTAAATCTCTCCATGGGATGTTGTAAGCATCACATAATTTAATACCTAGAAGGATTTTAGCACAATTCCTGAGACACAGTGAATGCCCAAAACATTTTTTCTCAATTTTGGTTCTTATGATGAGTCTTCCTGTTGTTATGATTGCACTGGTTTATGCACCTGTACACCTGTCCCCACTAAAGGACCACTTGCAGGTAGCGTATTGGAATGAACAATGAACTTGGAGTTAACTGTCGGACAGACGGAAAATTCATCCCCCTCGAGCTATGGGGCTTTGGAGGGCAGAATCATTGCTTCACGGATTTATTATGAACATCGGTCGGTGCAAGTGCTTCTGAAGCTGTGCTTGCTGACATTAGAAGGAGGCTGCACCCACGTCTTTGTGGCAGAGGTGGCAGAGGGAGGGGACCTCAAAGAACAGGACATGCGCTGAGACTGTCCCGACATCTGAAACCTCACACTCCCTGACTGCTGGGTTTCCAGGGCACGCTCCTCTCTGGTCCTTCCTTCTCTTTTCCAGAAGGTGAAGTAGAAGGTTTGGACAAGCCTGGCGTAGGGTGGGGAGGTGTGGGGCAGGCCTGACCCAGGGCAGTCTTCCTTCCAGCCCTCACACAACTGAGACCAAGAACTGGTGCTCCCTGCACACAGCTGACCCATCGGCCATCGAGGTGAGCCTCTGGGGTGACACGGAGGCTGCTCCGTGAGGAAGGGCCACTCTCTGTCTCCACCCCGGCCTTGGCCTGAGATGCCCACACCCCGGGCCCTGACTAAGGCACACGCACAGTGTGGTCCAAGCAGAGCCCTGGACTCCCGCTGGCCACGACTGGGGAGAGGGAGGAGCTTCCTAGAGGCTGGATCTGACCCCGTCAGGCAGGCTTAGAGGTCACTGTCCTTGCCACTGTGCGGTCTCTTTATCTTTTTTTTTTTTTTTTCTGGCTTTAACTGCCAAATGGAACACACATTCACCAGAAAGAAATGGAGGAAGCACCCCACTGGGTGTATTCTACCGCAATCCTGCATTTTCTATTTCTCCGTCAGGTTGGGATTTGGGGCAAGCACGCACACAGGCCCAGTGTGTTTTTCAAGCCACCGAAGCTGATTCCAGCTGCACAGTTGGCCATGTGGGTCCGGCTGGCTTAACCACCAGGCCATGGGGCTGGCCTACTATGCTGCTCTAGTTCAACAGGGGCACAGAGAAAAGTTTGGGGGGACAGGGAATGCTGAAAACCAACTTTGTGAGCTTTGCATGGGGCCAGGGTGCCAGCCTGCCAGGTGCTCGCAAATCCCCAGCCAGCACCTGCTCTTCCCACTCGAGTTCCCCACAGCAGACCTTCCCTGTGTTCCGATAGCCCAGTTTCTAAAGGTGAATGGGAGGGCGGCTAAAACGAGAGGACTAAGATAGAGAGGCGCTTTCTGGGTCAATGGCGCAGACCAAATACATCAGAATCAGAAAAGGAAGAAAAATGTCCTTTTGAAGGTTCACAATTTAAATCCGGGCCCATGTTTATGGCATGGTGATTTCATGCTGGTTGGCTTTTTTGGGCACACTTTTTCCTGGAGTGCCACAAAATTAGAAATTTTCAATCACTGCTAATTCCTTCTCCCCACATCCCCACCCAGGTTTGTACCTTAAGCATTGAGAGGCATGTTTTGAATGCATGGAAAAGGCTAAACTGTAATCATTGGCTGAAGTCTAATCCCTCCTGCAATCCCAATAAATGAAAGCTAAATATCAGCAAATGGATGAATTTCGGAGAAACATCTGTGTTCCATTACAGACTCGCTGGCAACAACGGTGTTGACATACTCTGTGTTACCAGTTATTTCCTCTTGGATTTGCCGAGACTGGAGGATTCCTTCTCGTTTCTGAAACGGGGGGTAGGGAGAGGGAGAGGGAGGAGAAAAAAAAATATGCTTTAGAGAAAAATACAGAGAAACTGATTAGCATTCCTGATATTGAGAAAGTATCTGGTGTTTAAGAAATGCATCCAGAGACGAGAGTGCTCGAAGCAACGGAGGCCCGGGAGTTCCGGGACTGGCCTGTACCCCAAGACCAAGTGCAATGAGTGTTCAGTCCAAACAAGTAGGCTGTTTCTTGGACGGTGAATCTTTCTTTTTTGGAAGACATTCTGTTTGCCTCCTGGAGTAATCCACAGTAACCCACATGGAAATGAAGGCAGGGTGTGTCTGCCCTCCAGCTGGGGCCAGGGAGCGAGGCTGAGAAACACTTTTCGCTGGGGGGCTGATGGGGAACTGAAGCCAACTTGGATAGCTCCGAGGTAGGTTTGTTTTTTAAAAACAAAAAAACAAAAAAACAAAAACCATAAATATGGGAGCTTTTAAAGAAGCAGTGTAGTCAGGTAACTAGCAAAGGCTTTTTATCAATAAAGATTAAGTCCTTAGGAGCCTCGCCCCTTCCCCCCCATCCATCCATCCCACACTCTGCCTCTCTTCTTTATTTCATTAATCAGTGCCGTCTATGGTTAGGCCCTGTGTGTGTCCACACGCACTATGGACGCTATGACATGGTTTCTGGCCGAGAGGAACTGAGAGAAGAATGGGGGAGAAAAGCAGGCCCGTGAGAATGGTTCCCCCAAACAGTCCTGGTTTGGGCCTGATGTCCTGGGTTAATATCAACAGGGTCCCCTTTCGGCTCTGCAGTGTGGCGGAAAATCCAGCATGTACCCCTGGTGGCCACTCTCTGCAGAGCAATGGGAAGGCCGGGCAGGAGCAGGCGCTCTCTGCTGGATGGATGATCAGGGAACTCCCTCCTTCCTAAGAGGGCACTGGAGCTGGAACTCCAAGGACAGGTAAGAGTTGGCTGGACCTGGAGGAGAGGTCATTCCAGCGGGAGGAATGGCTCTCGCTAGAAGGCAGCGTCAGGATAGCACCAATGTGTGGGGAGGCTGTTAGGAGGGACGGTGCTTGCTGTTAGTCACCGGGGGCTCAAGTGCCCGTTTGGAGAGTTTAACCTCCTCTCATGGGCATGGGAGCCAGTGAAGGAGCATGAGGTTCTGGAAGGCTTGGATACACTGGAGGAGGGAGATTCCTTCTCTGAGGTCATTGCAGCCAGCACCAGACATTGGAGGACAGTGGCTATGGCAGGCGGCTGACAAAGCAAATTCATCTTCCCAAGGGCTGAGCTAAGGTTAAAGAAGGGGCCTTTGAGCACTCGCAGCTCAGCTGAAACCTGCCTGGCTGAGCCTCCTGCCAAGACTCCCAGAAACATCTCTTCACATTCCCAGTAGCCACACAAATTAGCATCCATGCAAAACACACAAAGAAAGGTAGACCTGGGTCACACCAAATCTGGAGTAGATGAAAAAGAATGGACAAGCAAAGCAAAAAAGGGATACAGAAAATAAGAAAGGGCATTGGAAGGGGGTCAGGTGAAGAAAAATCCAGACTTTGTCCCAACGCAGTTCCGACAAATTTCCACCTGGGGCTAATGCAACCTGTGTCCCTGTCTCGTGAGGCCATTCAAAGACACGAAGCCCCATCTCCCACTTCATGCCGAATTACACGCTCTTCTATAGGACGGAGAAGAAATGTGGGTTAAGTAACCCCTTGCCCAGCATCCTGAGTCACCTCCACCCATTATCTGCTCCCTGAAGAGTTTTCTCTTCAGATCAGCTGGTGACTCACTGCCGATTCTGAGGCTGCTTCTGTGCCTGGTCAACTTGAGACAGCAAAGCACCCCTTAAACCGGACACGCATTGATGCCACTTTATGTAAGGTCCTTTCTCCCCCATAATAACAAACTGCCTCCCGGAAGAATTAAACCGACAGCTCCCTGATGTCCTATAATGGAGCCCAGAAGAAGGGCTTGCCCTGACCACCGCTTCAAAAGCCCTCTCTAGGCTCAAGCCTTTCATTTTCTTTTTTCTTTCTTTTTTGGTCTGTAGCAATTTCAATAGCATATTATTTCTACTAGAAATAAACAGGACCGTTTATTCCAGCTGATATGAAAAATATTGGGTCAGCCCTGTGGCCTACTGGCTAAGGGGGATGGGTGCCACATGGCGGACTGCGGCTAAAATCTTAGTCCTGGTGGCATGAGAAATACTGGGTTTGTGTGCCTGGGTGCCCCAAATCCCCACAGCATGGGGAAGCAGGGATTGAGAAACGGAGAAGCACACCTCTCTGAAGGGTGCTTTTTCTCTCTTTGATGAGTGCACATGAAAGTTAGCAATTAAAAAATTTGTCTTGGGGGACCAGCAGTTGGCGTAATGGCTATGTTGCTGGACTCCCATGTAGTTGACTGCGGTTCGAGTTGTGGACCCAGTGGCTTGGACTCGTGCTGGGTGCGTGTGTGTGCGTGCCCAAGATCCCGAGAGGAGAATGGAGGAGAAGGGATTGCGGTGTGACCATCCCCCTGGGGGTTGATTTCTTGCTTTCTGCCTCTCTGTGTTTCTCTTTTTGGTAGTGCACGTGCCCTATAGGAAAAACCTCTCCAAAAAAAAAAAAAATTGTTTTGTTTTTTTTCTCTCTCTCATTCCTTCCTCCCAAAAAAGAAAGAGAAAAATGCGAAGATGTTCAAAAGTTAATGGGCAAATTTAGAATGGACTGTCACAAAACTGAAGATTTGTAGGGTAATTTTCATCTAAATATTTCTACTAGCCATGAAAGAGTTATAAATGAATATAATGACAGTATGTTTACTCATGAAAACATTTTAAAAACTTTTCAGCGTTAGTGATATGTGGCCCCTAAAGTATTCACTCTTTTTTTTTTAAGAGTTATTTACTTAATTGTGTTATTATTATTTTTTAATGTGACCAGTGAAAGAGAAAAAAGTGAGAAAGCAAGCCTCCAGGTGTGGGACTCAAACCACAGTCAACCATGTGGGAGTTTAGTACCTTATCCACCATGCTACTTGTCAGCCCCCCTAAAATACTCTTTCATGAACTGCTCCAAGAATCATTTTTAAAAACTCTTTATTAGGCCAGCAGGTAGCATGGAGGTTAAGGTGCTAGATCCCATGTGGCCAGCTGTGCAGTTTACGTTCTGGATCTGGTGGCTTGAAAACTCAGGCCAGACATGTATGCATGCCCAGAATCCCAAGAGGAGAATGGAGGAGAAGACACTGCCGCATGGCCATCCTCCCTGGGGAGTGACTTTTTACTCTTCTCCTCTGGCAAGCATATGTGCCCTATAGCAAACACTGAAAAGAAAAAAAAAAAAGCTTTTATCTTTTAGAGCAGCTTTAGGTTCACGGCGGAACTGTGAGAAAGGTACAGAGATTTGCCAGGTCCCTCTGCCCCCATATACACCTAACCTTCCCCATGAACAACTCCTCCCATCAAAGGGGTGCACTTCCTGCCACTGAGGGACCATGCTGACACGTCACTACCCCCACGTCCAAGGTTCCCACGAGGGTTCGCCTTGGCGCTGAGTGTTTGAGAGTGGCCGAGCGTGTCCACCACCGCAGTACTGTACACGGTGTTCCCTGAAGCCCTGCCCCACCTGGCCGCCCCTCCCTGCCCAGTCGGGATCTGTAAGGCGCATACCAAATTGGACTCACACCTTACGGACTGGCAACAACACAAAGACAAAGTCTGGGTCCACAAGGAAGGTGCCAGGACGCTGCCGCTGGTTGCATATCCACTGCACATGTGCCACATCCGGCACCACATGTGATCCAGGGACCAGCTCAGCACACGGGGCCAACGGGAACCTGCAGTCAGCCACACGCAGTGCCGTGGCCTCACTTGCTGTGTGGCTGTGGGCTTCTGACAGTCCAGCCTGCTCCTCATTTGTGGTCTTGTCTCCAGGCAGGCCGAGCCTCGGTGTCATATCCCTATTACACACTCTTTGTGTTGTTTTTAATTTAGACAGGGTCTCGCTAGGTGGCGGTCCTCCTGCTTCTGCCTCCTGAGTAGCTGGGACTATGAGCATGTGCCACCATGCCAGGCTCTTTCACACAGGACCTTGCTGTGTTGCCCACACTGGCCATGAGCTCCTCGTGCTCCATCCCAGCCTCCCAAGGAGCTGGGACTAAAGGGTGCACCAGCATGCTCAGCTTTTAGGTGGGCTGGGAATTGAGGATTTGAACCTGCCACCCACATGGCTTTAGGCTGCTGGGTAGCAGCAGCTGCTGGTGTGCACTGCATGGCTGAGCTCCTGTTAAGGCCTTTTAATGCTTAGCAAAGTTAAGCACTCAGCAGATATGGAAGAAATACTTTTTATTAGGGCATAGCTCATGAGCCAGTTAAGAGCGTCCCCATGTCCTTGACCCCTCCTGCTAACATCTGATCCCTGAAAGCTCAGCTCAGAGTCTTGGAAATTGTCCTAGCCGGGTCAGGCCACGTGTATCAGCCCTCCAGGCTTTTCCTAAGGAAAAGGATGGCAGAACTGCCACACTGTCCTCCATTCCAGACCCCCCAGATAACCCTGGGCATCCAGGGAGCTGCAAATATGGGGAGTCCTCCCTTGCTGCATGTTTATTTGCAAAAGAACAGAAACAAGCAAATGAAATGACCTTTTGCTAATGGGTATAAAGTTGGAAAATGAAACTGAATTGGAGTATTTAATGGGTTAGGAGCAGAGGGAGACAGCCACGGGGAGAGAGCACACCCTCACTGTGGAGATCACACAGCCATATGTGGATGGAAATTCCACCCAACAATCTGGAAAAGATGACCTGAGATCCCAGCTGTGCTCTCTGGGTGGGTAAGAAGTGGCAGTGCCTTCAACAGAGACACGGCCAATAGGTTCTCTCGCAAACACACACGCACGCACGCACGCACACACACACACACACATACACACACACACATGCACACACACCCCTCACATGCAGATATGTTTTCCCCCAGTACCTATGTATCCTTTGTTTAGCCAAAAAAAAATATGATTCTCTACGGCTTGCAGGGCACCCCTTGCACTCCTGTACACAAAGGCATGGTGTACACACACGCACAGTATCTGACCCTAAGGCACACACCTCACAAACACACACCACACACCCTCAACTACACATTATACTGTCCCAGAAAAAAATATGTAAACCCACAGGCACACACCCCACACAAGGCTGCTGTCACACACTCTTCCTCCCTGTGCACACTTAGAAGGATGAGCCAATATGTTCCCAGCATCCTCCACGCCCAAGTGCTTCAGTATTCACCTGTGCCTTTGCACTCACAGCCACACAGCCTGCACAGCTCTTTAAAGCACAGATCTATGGGACCAGCAGATGGCATAATAGTTATGTCACTGGACTCCCATGTGGTTCAAGTCCTGGACCTGGGGTCTTAAAGCATGCTGGGCGTGTCTGTGTGCATGCTCAAAATCCAAAGCGGAGAAGAGACTGCAGGGTGGCCACCCCCGGAGGGCGATTTCTCGCTTTTGTCTCTCCTTCTCTCTGGTGAAAGCATGCGCCTTATAGCAAAAACCTCTCTCTCTAAAAAAAGGGCACATATCTATCTTACCTGGACCACGACCACCTGGATGGAAACATGGTCTGGCAGTCGGATTGGTGCGCGGAAATACTGAGACAGAGCGACCAGCAGATGCAAGATGGCCACCAGGCTCTTGGCATGAACAGCTGAAATGTAAGAGGATTCAGAAGTCAGAGCAACCTCTCCCAAGTTCTAGGCGATGTAAGCAGAAATTCAAAATGTAGCAGTATCTACCCAGTGTCCCTTTGTCCAACCTCTAAGGGTGAGGGACGCCCCTGGTCATCATGGACCTCAACTTGGGCCCCCCTTGGTTCTTGGTGAGAGCCTGTGGAGCGCCTCCTTGGCCCATGTTATTGCTGGGTCTCCAGTGCAGCCTGTCTCTACTCTAACTGCTGGTTCCCAGCACACCCTATCAACCGCTGAGCTCTGAGGTCACGTCAGCTCTCCCCAGTAACAGGCTGTAGTTAGTTTCCTTGGAAGAGGATTGAAGAAAAGACTGACTTAGTGACCCCACAGGGTCGGGCAGGCAGGAACTTCAGTTCTGACTTGTTAACTCTTCTATTTACCAGCTACATGACCTTGGGTAGAGTAGGCCACTTGAGGCCTCTGAGCCCTAATGTGTTCATCCTGACAAACAGGGAGAGCGATACCTATCTTGAGTACCTGTGGGTAAATGTGCCTAGGACAAGGCAGGTACCCAGGAGTGGCTGGTTTTATTTATTTATTTATATAATTTATGTGAAAGTATTAGGTTGTAAGGAAAGTCATGACATCTTTTTCTATGATTTTCTATGCAAAAATGCACTGTGACCTTCCCAACAACCCAGTACCTGGCACGTAGGCAATTCAAATATGGCATCTTTCTTCCATTTCTTTCTCATGCATGGTTTGCTAGGCAGTTTACCTGCCTTCACAGTCCTGGAAGCTTCCTGTCTCTTCATGACAGGGGCGCTCGCAGGCCCATTTTGTGGGCCCACTGTCATGCTGTCTTCCCTAAATCAATGAGTCTGTTTTAGCAGAAGCTTTGAGAAATCACCGAGAAAAGGAGATGATTCAGACACTCCTTTGGAACTCATTAGTTTCTTATTATCACCGTTACTTTAAAGGAGGCTTTCTACTGACAATGAACAGCAGCCCACCACCGCCCTCACTGGGGGTTGGCCCACCCTGACCTCCTCGCCTTCCAGGAGGTTTCAGTTCTGGGCTTTTGGGCATCGTCAGCTAAGTTCTATGTACTGTTACAGCTGCGAGAAAAAGTTCCTGAGATGGGACTGACCCACGACATGGTGTGGTCCTTGAGGGACAGAGGAAAGTCTAGGCTTGCTCTCTGACAAGAGATGCTGCCATCTCCAGCCTCTCTCAGGGTTGTAGGAACCTATGCTACTCCTCCCACCCTTCATGGATAACATGATGCTGGGAAAGTTCTGGTCAAACAGGTTTTATGGGTTGGCAGTACGGTAGTGCTGTACAGTGTAACTTTAAGATGCTGAAGCCGTATGGGAGATAAGGGTTTGGACACTAGGTTAACCTGGGTGCACTGGGCACATGTGTGCGTGCCCAGGATCCTGGCTGGCTGGTGACTTGGGGAATGATCGTGGTGTGAGACATTGTGGAGGCTGCTTGTCTTCCCTTTCTCTCATAAAAGAAGTAAATAAACTTTTTTTTAAAACAAACAAACCCCGGGAACCAGCAGTTAGCGTAATGGCTATGTCGCTGCACTCCCATGTAGTCGACCGCGGTTCGTGTCCCGGACCCGGTGGCTTAAAACTCACGCCGGGCGCGTGTGCGTGTGTGCCCAAGATCCCGAGAGGAGAATGGAGGAGAAGGGATTGTGGCGTGACCATCCCCCCTGGGGGGTGATTTCTCGCTTTCTGTCTCTATGTCTCTCTCTCTGTCTGTCTGGCGAGCGCACGCGCCCTACAGTGAAAATCTCTCAAAACAAAACAAAACAAAACAAAAAAAACCCAAGTTGTTCTTAACCCTGGTGACGTGTAGCATCTCCACTATCTTGTTGAGCAACATAGAGTTGTATCCTAAGCATCTCTTGAGTGTCCGAGTCTTTTAACGAATACTCTACATCTGGGAATTTTTTCAGAAGAAACAATTCCACAGTGTTTCAATGAATGCTTTGTACTTCTGGGAATTTTTAAGAAGAATTAATTGCACAGCCACATAATTATTAACTGTTAATAATTAATCATTGTGGAATACGTTATCATTTTTTAAAAACCTTGTAAAACACATCTAATAACAAAAAGATGGTTTAGACACTAGGTTTCAACTTTTTTTTTTAAATTAAGCAGAGAAATCCTTTACTCTAAAAGCTGATAGGCAAAACTCATGAAAAACATACAACTGCTCTGGCTAAAGTAATAACGAGGACCTTGGAGTTCCAACCGCAGCTCACCCACTGCTTTCTACCTTCTCCCCTGTGGAACCTGATCCCTAGGTTGGAGGAAGCATGGTTTAACAGTCACTGCTTTAGAAAGTTATGGTATATCCATGCAATGGAATAGTCTGTATGCATTGAAAATCATTGTTCAGACAATGTGACTATAAATACGAACAGTGTAATGTGTAGAGAGAAACTGAATAAGGTAAAAATATACATTTATGGATATATGTGTGAGCATATACACATGTAAGCACGTACTTGTGGTCAACACTTAGAAAGGAGCATAGTTTAAAAATGAAGGCCAACCCATGGCCCAGTGGTTAAGGGAGAGAGATTTCCCCCATGGCTGACCATGTGATTTGAATCCCAGCCCCACTGGCTTGAAGAACAAGCAGGCACATGTGTGCGGCTATTTCCCAAATCCCAGCTGGATGGAGAAAAGGAGGGGACTGTGCCATGATCATGTCCCACTGGGGGATACTTTCTCCCCCCCCCCCTCTCTCTCTCTCTCTCTTTTTGTCTCCCTCTGGCAAGTGTATGCATCCTCTGGCAATTAAAATAAAAACCAAATACAGATACCCTTCCCAGATCTAGTGCTCATACTCCACTCCCCCTTCTACACTGAACACTGCTAGCGTTTCTGGAACACAGAGAAACAGACCCCTTTCCAAGAGAGCAGCTAAGGTCCAAAGCCATGGCCTCCCCCTTCCAGTCCTCAGGTGTCTCCCTCTGCTTGGCAGAGAATGGCCTGTTCCCAGAGCTGTCACCGTGAGCAGCAGCTTGCCGTGTTGTGCAGCAAAGGGGTGGTTATGCTGAAGGGGCACTTGGCACCCGGGCCCCAACGTCAGGTGTTAGAGACCTGCTGAAAAGACTGCAGTGGGCAGCAAGCAGCCCCTCAGTTTAGGGGTGAAGATTCACTTTCCCTCCGAGTTTCGAAGGTATTATTTTGTGGAGAGGTTTAACGTGACCAAGTTGAATGCAGTACAGTGTTGTCCTTCACTCAATACTTAAGACAAAACTTCGGACTCCCTAATGGGTAATGTTGCTGTAGGGTTCACCTGACCTGCTGATTTAATGTGGATTCTCCTTAACTCCACATTAGACACTTGGCCCTTGAGGCTGCAGAAGGATGAATGGTTTGTACTTTCTGGGAAACTTGAGCTACACTAGCTACGGCGAGCTGTACTGTAAAATCTGTTTCAGTTGCCTGCGATCTCTGCCATAGCTTTGTTCCTTCTGCAAATAAAGAAAAAGTGGGGACCAGCAGTTGGCATAATGGCTATGTCGCTGGACTCCCACGTAGTCAACCGCGGTTCACGTCCCGGACCCGGTGGCTTGAAACTCACACTGGGTGCATGTGCGTGCGTGCCCAAGATCCCGAGAGGAGAACGAAGGAGAAGGGACTGCGGCATGGCCATCCCCCCTGGGAGGTGATTTCTCGCTGTCTCTCTGTCTCTCTGTCTGTCTGGCGAGCGCATGCGCCCTATAGAGAAAAACCTCTACAAAAAAAAAAAAGACAAAGTGGAGGGACCAGCAGTTGGCGTAATGGCTATGTTGCTGGACTCCCAATGTAGTCAACCATGGTTCAAGTCCCAGACCTGGTGGCTTAAACTCATGCTGGGCACGTGTGCATGTATGCCTAAGATCCTGAGAGGAGAATGGAGA